TTTTTTCTTTTTTTTTCTTAGAGGGTGTCGCTATGGGCTACATCATTTTTGTTAGTCCATCAACTGTGTTGGCCCAGCCTATAGCGACACTGATGTTGCTCATTCCAGCCCAACCCCCTATTTATAGGCATCCTGGGGTCCCCGGAATGGCCCGTATTGGATTCGGAACGGCCCGTTCCGGATTTTTCGAACATAGGCAAATTTAGCAACTGGAACGGCCCGTTCCAAATTCGGAACGACCTGTTTCAAAAAGCAAAACGACCCGTTCTGAAGTTCACGTTAACACTGATTGACCATAGTTGGAACGGCCCGTTTCCAACTAAGGTCTTTAGGCAATTTCATAACCTTGGAACGACCCGTTCTGGGAAAACAAAAATGGGCCTTTTTACTAAATTGGAACGACCCGTTCCACTTTTGGAACGGCCCGTTCTGCTACCTCAAAATCAGTATATTTTCTTTGTTTGGAACGGCCGGTTCCACTTTTGGAACAACCCGTTCCGGCGTAAAAAAAAAGATTTTTATAAAACTTTCACAAATAATTTAAATTGTAACAAACCTCTAAAATATTCTATAAAAACCTCTTTAATTAACAAAAATAACTATATAAAAATAAAAATATTTAACATTGTATTAGCAGAAAATTCGGGGTGTTACATGTGTTATTTTCTTGCTTCAACAATTGACCTCCAAAGGCATGGTGGTCACTAGTTAGAGTCCAACTCCAATCCCAATTGGTAAATATGAGTTATGATACACTAAAATGTTTTTATAATTATTATTTGTATTATATTAATTATAATTTTATTTTTAATATTTTAAATTATTCAATTATATTATATTATGATTAAATTTTTATATTTGTTAATTTATTACATTATAAGTCTTATTATAAAAATATTTAAATTTTAAAATTAAACAAAATAAATGAGGTCTTGTATTTATGTGTCATTAGTATTTTTTATAAAATAATTAAAAAATATTTTTGTACCATCCTAGACTCATGATCGATTTGTTTAAGAACGATCATTCTCAACTTTTCACTTAGTCTTTATGTGCTATTGCATTTAAGATTAAGACAGAAAGATTGTGTATCTTCCTAGGCTTATGTTGATCTACTTTAAATTGATCATCTTAATGTCTTTATCAACCATTTTAGTGTTGATCTAATCCACAAATAATTTATATTTTTTTGTATTCTTGAAACTACAAAATAATAAGTTTATCATTAAAAAATGTCAATCTAAACATACTAGAAAAAATAATTTATATTATGATAAACAACTTTATGAAAATATAAGATAAATAAGTTAAATGATAAAGACATATTCAATTTAATAGAATCAAAAGATATGACCTACTATTATATAATTTTCATATTTTAAAATTCATACTAATTATATTATATAATATTATTGATTATACTTAAAAATTACACAACAAAAAAACAAACTATTTATAGGTTTTAGTGGTTTGATAAGGTTAATTTTTAAAGTATATATTAAAAAATAAAGACACGTTTTAATCAAGCATTTTCTAGTTACAGGTGTACAATCTCTCCTAAGTAAGATCGTACATGGAAAAAATCCAAAAAATTGATAAATTCTACTTTTTAAATTAATTTTTAACATTATATTAGAAACAAATTCAAAAACGTCATTTTTATTTTCATAGAAAGGTTATTCTAAAAATATTGAGCAAAATCAAAACATAATAAAAAAAAAATACAAAAACATAATAAAAAAAATAGAAATAGAATTGAAAATAGAGAAATGCTAGCAAACATTCTCTAACACTCTTTCACTAATATTTGATAATCACAAATTTGAGTGGATTCTATAATTAAATTAAAATAAACTTGATACATAAGATATGAGAGTCATAAAATTTATAATTTTTAATAAATTTTAAACAATAATAAAAAGAGTAATGAAAAGAAAGTGTTATAGAAAATTTTGCTGGTATGCCCCCTCGGAATAAGAGATTGAAATTAAGATGGTGTGCGTGAATTGATCCGTGGTAAGGATCTATAACCTTAAAAGTAAATTCGTGTCTGAATCAGAATAGGATCTACTGCAGTTTAAAAGAAAAATAATCCATGGACACTCATATGCTAGTAGATATCCAGGGAGAGAAAGAGATAGAAGAGAGAATCACCTGTACGTAGACAAATATACTGCGACAGAGAGAGAGAAAAAAATTGACTATCAATGAGATGTTTTTACACTATTAAGCTATAAGCTATTCATGCATAACTACCCATTTCAAAATACAGGATGCGTAGATATCAATCTCTCTCACCTTTAAAATTTATAGAAATAATTTTAAAAAAATAAATTTACATAATTAAGGACCAAATTCATGGAGATATTCCCACAACTGTAGAAGATCTTAATCCCTCTGAATCTTTGCAATTAGGGACCATACTGCTAGATCTTTGATGAGGCTTCAATTCCCTAACACTTGAAAAGACAGGGTGGTATATATACAACATCACAGTTAATCACTAATCAGTCCCTGAACCATTGAAGTTGGTCCAAATAGCAATGCCACTTGTGCCCACAGCCAAAACTATGATCACTATTGCCATGACTTGATCTCTTGTCTTTGATATGCCATGCATGTCCCTGTGTTGTTGTATATAAAAAAAAAAAAATTAAGATACATAAATTAAGCAAATATATATTAAGAGCACAAAAATTGGTAGTAGCATGTATACGTACATACCTTAGAACGATAGCAGCAGGGAAGATGAATGAGGTACAAACAACGGTTGTGGATCCCAAGAACTGAAAAAAATACCATATGTTTGGGATGGCCACAGCCACCAAGTATGTGAGGGCTAGCAGAGTCAAAGTGAGTGACACAAATCTTGTTGTGTCTGATGCAAGTGGAGGTTTATTTTTGTTTGAGAAAATGAGTTCATCTATGTTGGCCCTAAAGGAATAGTTCATGATGGGGAACACAAGTGCAAGATGGAGTGCATAGCTTAACCGAACAATGTCATTCAGCAATCGACCAGCAGTGGTGTCGGAGTTTTGGTCAAAGTTTACTAGCACATCGGGCATGATGGAATCACCAAACAAAAGGTATGCAAAGAAGCCAATAGCGAAGTAAATAGCCACACAGATTGTTAACGAAGTTCGCACGGCCAAACCCATGTGTGAAGCTTTTCCAAGCTCTGCTCTAATTGGATGAACTGCATCAAATCATACGTAAGTTGATGAATAAAACTTCGAAGTCATAAATAAAAATAAAAAAAATTCTTCAAAAATGACAAATTAAAAGAAAAATATGATATAATCAAGCTGGAAGTGATATATAATGTTGAAACTAACCGTTGACATGGAAGCCGAAACCGGTCACGAAGATTGGGACAGTGGTGAAAAGATCAAGGACAGTGACTTGAGAGAAATCAGGCACAATCCTCAGTGATTGAGTTTTGCCGGACCACAATGCACTAAGGGCCATAGATGAGCATATTGCAATAAACACCAATGCTAGAAGGATTGATATTGCAGAACTATACCTCAGTGAATCTGTACATATATAAATATAAAAAACAATTTAATTAGCCAAATTAATGCTCTTAAGATGGAAAGTTTAATTTTCCAAGAAAAGAAAAAGTGCTTGTGAATTTGGTAGTAGTAGTAGTACTTACCAACACGCCGTAACATAACAAGTGGAAGCATTACAAAGAGGGCAACAATGAGAAGAGCAAAAGCTCGAGAGGTCCACCAGTACATGCCAAACCATTCTTGAAGAATACCCAAGTGTGTCGTTCCATTCGACTCATTTCCACACAGAACGTCACCTTCCAATTCAAAGGCAATGAAACTCAATCAAATTTATGTCAAAAACATGGAATTAATAGTTAGAAAATGCAAGTCCATTACATAAGAGAAAAAGAACGTATAAAATATGTATTGCTAGTCTAACAAACAATATTTAAATTATCCTCTCTTTAAAAATACTTAGATTACAACCCTTCTTTATCTAATTCAAAAACATCACTCCCATCTTTTTTTGAGAAACGCGGAGCATTTCTATGAAATATTGAAGTTATCATATAACTCAACTAGCAATGGGATACAGTGGAAGGGAATAGTCTCCAAGAAAGTGACCAGACATATTCCAAATTTCTATCAAGAAAGGCCAACCCATGTTTATGTATGACTATGACAGCATCTCATACAAAATTGTCTAACATGAAAGATACAGAAACAAAAGAAAAATAATACAATGTTTTTTATTTACTCAAGAATAACATTGTTGGTAATTATACTTTTTGGAACGTTATTCATGAGAAAAAAATGTTATTAAGAGGTTTATTTGCGTAAAAAGATTAATGTAATTTAAAGATTAAAAGGGAGAAACAAAATTTGATTTGTGAGGGGACTAATATCGTTCCTTTTTTTACACCTCACTTCCAGCGACCTCATATATTAGGCCACTCACACTCCAAGTTCATCCAAATTTGTGGGAGGTTTTCTAACCAAGGGGTTGGCAAACAGGCCTTGTTTTAACCCCACGTGTAATGCTACAACTAGATTTAGATTCTTTATTTGAATAGTCTCCTAATCGAATCTACTCTATTCATCGACCTTTGGCTCCAAGCTTGAAAACCATAACACGTTACATATGGTTAACTTAATTTCCAAGGTCCCCGGGAAATTAGGCCCAACACATGACAGGATCTGCAGGACTGCTATGTAGCATGTGAGTGTTGAATATTATTAGATGCTCTTGACATTGATGATTTCATCACAAAACTCTATTGATGGATCGGTGCCTTAAAAGTTATCTGGCATTTGTGAGGGTACAAACTATGAATTCCCAAATGTCTCTACACCCTGTCTTGCCAGATTTTGTGTTTGCAGGCCAAATTAGTAGCTAAAACTACGGGAGACCATTTTTAAAATATTTATTTACTTCAGTATTTTAATATTCCAAACAGAACACATCATGTATTAGTAAAAGATGTAAATGCATATTAACCCAACTAAAATTTCTAATGGGTATTTTAGTAATCATTCATCTTATATAGTATATTCTAATAAAAATGAATTGATGAACCGTGGCCCCACCAAACCATGGATTTTCACTTTTCAGGAATAAAATCACCGAACAGCCTAAAAAATGATCACAATTTTCCTCTTTTTCTAATCTTTTCTGTCTTTTATGACACATCAAGTGAGCCCAAACTAAACTAGGTGAGTGAATCAGCCCAAATTTGCATAAAAAAAAAATCCTAACACGGGCTGCAAGTAAACAATAAAAAAAGAAGGAATTAAAGGCGAAGTAGGAGGATGAACGTACCAAGAATAATGAAGTAGATTATTAGTATACCAAAATTGGTTATGATGACGCAAATCTTGACGGCGAGGGATCCTATGAAGCCAAAAGATTCGGCCATCATGCCGGCGTAAGTAGTGGATTTACCTGAAGTTGTGTAGCGTAGCATAAACTCGACAGTGACATCTGTCACGAGTGCGACCAAAAGTATGAGCAGGAAGCCCGGAACTATTCCCAGCACCTTCATGGTGGCCGGAATGGACATGATTCCGGCGCCGATCATGGTGGTTGATATGTTGAAGACCGCTCCGGAAATGGATCCATTTTGCTGAGTCTGGTTTTCCGGAGATTGTTCACAGTCCGGTGGCAGAAGGAGAGGCTCCGCAAGTTGAGTGACGTTAGAGACAGATGCAGGCTTCATCTTTGGTGGAGTTGAAACTTGAAACACACCCATGTGTTCTTTTCTTTATCCTTTTTTTTATGCGTTTTTTTAGTCACTCGCTTCTTTTAAAATGAATAATATAGTTAACTGACATATCATCCCTATCAATATCAATAATGTAGATTAAATTTCATAAATATATTATATTTAACAAATATAATTATTATTATTTATTTAAGTATTCATAAAAAATAATGTATTCATCAATTGAATACCATCTTAATACTTATAAAATAAATTTAATAATCAATATTATCTAACAAAAACACTAACCCCTCTTTAAATATTTATAAAAATACTATATTAAGAACATCAATTAAATATGATCTTTATATTTAATACATTACATTTAATAAATAAAATAATTTCTGGTCAATTTAAATATATATATATATATATATATATTATATTTAATAAATATAATAATTAATCTTATGAAAAAAGTACTAGTCAATTAAAATATTTAAAATATTTTTTGCAAAATCATAATTAAAATGGAATATATTTTAAAATATACAGTTAAATTTAATAAAATAATAATAATAATTTTATTAAATAATAATTAAATATATACATTAAGATATAAATTATTTACATGTAAAGTATTAATATTTATTAAGAGAAAAAAAGTATATTTTAATATAAGGAAAAATGACAGTATAATACTTTTATATCTGAGAGTATTGGTGTATAAGATATTTTGATAATAAATTTTTTATTTAAATATAATTTTAGTCTCTAAGATGATGAGTTTTGATTTTAATACTTATAATTTTTTTTTAATTTTTCATCTCTCGAAATTTTAAAGTGTTATTTTTAATTTTTTATTATCATGTGGTCTTTTTTAACTACATATTTATTTATTAAAATATTAAATAATTATCTTAATATTATCTATAATTGTTAATTATGTAGTATTAGATATGTGACATTTCTAAAAAAAAATTTATAAATCTTTAAAATAAGTACTATTTATCTACTTATAAATTATTGTTATGAACTAAAAATAATTATTTTAGAGAGATAACAATTAATAAACTTATATTTTATTAAGATTAAAATCAAAATTTACTTATTTTATAAAGACTAAAAAATATTTTACAAAGATTAAATATAATGTTTATAAATTTTTATAAGAAAAAATATAAATAAAAAAAAATTAAGACTAAAATAAAATCTCAACCGTTTTACACAAATTAAAAACAAGTTTGAGTCTATATATTTAAATATATTTAATATAAATGAGGCTATTGAAGAAATTTGATTTTGCAATTTCTATTTTAAAGTTGTGGATTGGATGTATTTATACTATATTTGTGGATTGGATGTATTTATACTATATTTTGGGTTTTAGTGTTGCTGCTTCCCTTGTTAAATTACGGATCAGAAGGATAATATTGTTTTTGGTTCAAACTTCTGGTTGCTCTTATTTATGTTTATATTTTGGTTTTGGTGTTGTTGTTGTTCCAATTTAAGTTTTTTACTTTCTTTTATCCAATCGAAAAGACTTGACAATCACATCATTATACTTTAAAGTCTTAGATTAGACAAATATAGAATAGTTTACTGAAAGGGTAATTTAATGATTTATAATTGTTCTATATTTCATACATAGTAGTTTCCTTGATGGACTAGCTCAAGTACATAATTTGGAATAGTATTTTTAGTGGTGCATAATACACATATCACATGTGATATTTTTGTAATGAGTTGAAGTACTCCTTGTACTCTCTTTAATTTCAATTATTTGGCTTATCAAAAAAAATAACATAAAAACATATTTAATTCTATATATGAAATAAAAAAATGAAAAAATACATATTTTAACATGCAAGGGAGGAAATGTATTTTTCAACATAAAGGAGAAAGATAATGTTTTTTTATTAGTGAAAAGAAAAATAATTTATATTTATATATTTTGAAAGAAAAGTGGTATATAATTTTTTTATCTATTATAATTATAATGAGGATATCAAATTTGAATTTTGAATATGCACATATTATTTTAATTTTTATGAGTAAATTGACTCTAGTATTTCGTTGAATAACATTATCTATATTTTATCATAAGAAAGAAAAATGACGTAATGTTACTGCTATCTTAAAGAAAAAGTAACGAGTAATGTAATTTACTCCATAACTTTTTAATATATGATATCAAAAATTATCTATGATTCGATTAATTTTTTATTCTAATTGCTTGTGACCTTTACGGAAAATATTTTTGTTCATTCTTTAAACTGTCCATACCATGCAGATATTTTTTTAAAAAAAATATTTGTAATCAGTAATTGGATATGCATATTAACAAAATGATAGATACTGGATAAATAATTTTATTTTTCATATATGTGGTTAGAGAATAATTTTGAATGTATCTGCATGTAAAAATATTTAAAAATGATTACTTAGTTTTCCACTTGAGACTGGCTCCTCTTCTGGAAGAAGAATGACGTGTAATTGTGATCTTCTCCCTCTGGAGCCTTTGATTTGCCTTGTCCGTATTCTGGGATTTTGGGATCCACATCCACTTCCTCATTCATATCTTAATCCACTCAGTTAGGTTTTCTGTGTCTGTCACAATTTCAAATTATTAACAATTTTAATTATAAGATTTTTATTTTGAATAATACTACACCTTTGAAATGAAACTTCTAAATCATCGTCTAAATCATTTAATTATTTATATTTATCAAATATTTTAATTTTATTATTTTAAAGTTTTAAATATTTAAAATATTTTTTAATTTTAATATAATCATCACAAAAGTAAAACATCATTTTTTAATACATTATACATATAAGTTACAATTAAATAACGTTAAGAAAAATCCTTTTACTATGAGTATATTAAAATTAAATTCTAGTTTTGATGTTTTGATTAATTTATTATATCATACAATTACAAACCTAAACATATTAAAAAATGTTAAAATTGCAGATAGATTAATATAATTAATTATATTTATTTTTTTTGTAGACTGTATTTTTTTAATAGAAATAATCTTATTTGAATTGAATAAAATTAATATAACAATAATTTTTTTTTAAAAATATTTAACACAATTACATACTTAAAAATCGAATATGAAACTTCTAAATTCTAATTTTATTGATAATTTAATTGAACGTAATGTTAATTTAAATAAAATATTTGGACAAGATATTGTACTACTCGACTGAGTCAATTATAATAGGTACTTGCATTGGCTTTATTAATCCAGCCTAATGTAAGGTAAAACACATATTAGATATTTATTTATAATCAATGTTGATTGAGTTTAGTGAAAAAAGTTAACGCAATAAATTAAGAGTTAATTACATTTTTACATTGACAACTAATCAATATAAAAATATTATTTTATTTCTTTTATTTCATTAAATAAGCAAATGACATAAAATTATTAAAAAATATGATTGGTTGTTAGTGTATAAGTGATTAACTTATAAATGAATGTTTAAATTTTGTTTAAAATAGTATTCATGTTTAATGTTTGATAGTGTCTCAAATATAGGTAATACTATTATATAAAAAGAGATATTAATTTTTAATAACTTATTTTCAGTCTTTATATTTTTAGAATCATTGTATCCTCACAAATCACTATAATTTTTTATTTAATTTTTAAATAAATATATAGAAACAACAAAGTGTCTTTTTCTTCTTAATTGCTTATAAAAAAGGATACATATGTAAAATTAAAAATGCGTTGTAAACTCCTTAATAATGTGTTCCACTTTTACAAATAAAAAATATGAATTTTATTTTGTTGAATAAAAAATGTATGGTGTTGATGTAGCCCAAGTACATTTTGAGTTAGATTTATTATATCTTTAAACGAAAAAAGGGGAAGAAGAAAATGGATGTATTTTGTTGGTTTGTAATGGGCCTAGCCCAATGAAATGGGCGAAGTGCGGAGCCCAGGGAAAGGGAAAGCATATTCGGAAGGGGAAGAAAGAGAAAGTGAGGATTGTGGTAATTGCGTGCGAAACAAAGAGAAAGAGAAAGAGAAAGAGACACGTTGTTTTCATTTTGATTCCAGTTTGGCGATGAAATAGTATCTAATATCTATCTGTGATTAAGAGACATTATTATTGCATGAAAGAGAGGGAATTAATCGTTGAAAGTTGAAAAGATGGGAGATCATTTGGCCAGGGCAGAGGATTTCCAGAACAAGGCAGAGAAGAAGCTCAGCGGTTGGGGCCTCTTCGGCTCCAAATTCGAGGACGCTTCTGAACTCTTCGACAAATCCGCCAATTCCTTCAAGCTCGCTAAATCATGTAACCTTTTTTTTTTCTTCTTCTTTTAATTCCTTAATTATTTATTTATTTAATTAATTAATTAACGGAATGCATTGTGCATGTTTTCAGGGGACAAAGCAGGATCCACCTACATCAAATTGGCCAATTGCCATTTGAAGGTAACTAACTAATCCGTTTCGTTTTTGGGCTTCTTTGATTTGATTCTCTCCACGCGCTGTGATGAATCGTGTTGTTGTAGTTGGAAAGCAAGCACGAAGCTGCCCAAGCTTATGTTGACGCCGCGCATTGCTATAAAAAAACTAATATAAATGGTATGCATCAATGCAAGTGCTTACGTACAATTCAACATGTTTCTTTGTGTTCCAAATCTTATATATGCTTTTGAACATGATCAAATTATATAATGCATGTCAACGATGCTAAGCTTCTTTTTCTATATTTTTATTGCAGAGGCTGTGTCTTGCTTAGACAATGCTGTAAATATTTTCTGTGAAATTGGGAGGCTATCTATGGCTGCTAGATATTTGAAGGTATATAGATAAGTTATTATTTTTTATTTTAGTATGGCTTTTGAAATTTAATTTCTAACATTGGAATGTTTATTTGGTTGTGAATGGTGTCCCTTTCCATTTGGCTTACTGTTGAGGCATTCTTGAAGGAATTGTCATGATTGGATTTTTCTTTTGTTTGCACAGGAAATTGCTGAGTTGTATGAGTCTGAACAGAATATTGAGCAGGCTGTTGTTTACTATGAAAAATCAGCTGATTTTTATGAAAATGAAGAAGTGAACACTTCTGCAAACCAGTGCAAACAAAAAGTTGCTCAATTCTCTGCCCAGCTTGAACAGTAAGATTTTCTATTTTTCTGCTCCTTTTATCTTGTGTAGTTGTTGGTTGATGTGAACTGTGAGGAGCTCCGTAATAATGCTTGAACATGGTTTTCTTCTATTTCCCTATGTTTGTTGCTTACTATTGTTTTTTGGTTTAGTTCCTCTGCATCACCCATTCTCATGGTTTAATACTCCCCCCCATCCCACCCTTTCTCCCCAGGGTTAACATCTGCTCAAGTTTAACAAATATTAGCCCAGGGATGCATTTAGTCTTATCATATATTGATGTTTATGCATACGTGGTTTTAACAAATATCAGCCCATTTCTGCACTTAGTCTTATTCATATATTGATGTGTACATCAGTTTTTAATTTGAGAAGGAACTGTACAATAATGTAAGGAAAATAATACTTGGTAATGAAAGGAATTTTATATTGCCTTCTCTCTATGTTAAAATTGAATATTAACTGTTTCAAATTTTTTGATAATTCTCCAGATATCAGAGGTCAATTGAGATTTATGAAGAGATTGCTCGCCAGTCTCTCAGCAATAATTTGCTGAAGTATGGAGTTAAAGGACATCTTCTAAATGCTGGCATTTGCCAACTCTGTAAAGGCGATGTCATTGCTATTACCAATGCGTTAGAGCGATATCAGGTCCAATATTTTCAACAATTTACATCTTGAGATCGGTAACATCACCGGTTGCTAAATTCTTTGAATATGTGTTTGTTTATGCAGGATTTGGATCCAACATTTTCAGGAACTCGTGAATATAGACTTCTAGCAGTATGTTACTAGTTGTGGACATTTCAATAACTGCCTTCTCTGTTATAATCTTCTTCTTAATGTTTGGTTTTATTATAACATTTTATTGTTGCATTGACTGATTCATTACACATGTATGCCTGACGAGGTACTGAAGTTTTTTTTATAATAAAATAAAATAAAATGGACAGGATATTGCTGCTGCAATCGATGAAGAAGATATCGGAAAGTTTACTGAAGTTGTCAAGGAATTTGATAGCATGACCCCTCTGGTAAGCTCCATATTTTTGGAAAATTGAACAATTTAGTTGGTAGCTGACAATTTTTCCATTGTAGTTTAGATGCATCTTGTTACAGAATAAACATATCATAACTAAATTGCCCCAATTTTCAGCAATTTAATAATTATGTTCTTGCTAATTTGCATCTGCCTTGAATGTTCCCGAGAAATATTGATTCATTCAGTTAAAAGTAGGTTGCAGACGCTAGAAATTTCATCAAATTGTACCATTTTATTTATGTGAAGAACACCGAGGAGAAGAAGTTATGAATATTTTTGTCTGTGACTATGTTCAACTGATTTATGAATTGTTGTTGTTTTAAACTCCTTGTTCTGACCATTTTTCTTTTGCATTCCATAAAAATATCTACTCTCAGTATTTTATCAACATTGCATGTTTGCGTGAATGTTGTGTAGGATTCTTGGAAGACAACACTTCTTTTGAGGGTGAAGGAAAAACTGAAAGCCAAAGAACTTGAGGAGGATGATCTTACTTGAATTGCACAATATAGTATTCTTTCGGTTGGATTTCATGTTTGTCTTGTATTAAGCTTGTTTGTCCAGTTGTTCGTCTTACACATATCTACTAGTATAAAGTGTACTTGCTTTGGGTTTCCACTGAAGTGGTCTGCATGAATTCTTGAAATGAATATATGTGGAGTTAGCCATAGTCTGATCAGATCAGATCCACTTTTATTGGTTCTGCATATGCCCGCGAGTTGTCATCATAAAGAATTGTTATTATAGTAACTTGGAAGAATGAAAAATCTCTAGTATCCACTGTTCTAGAACGTCTTGCAGTACTAATTTCATTTAAACCATGTCATTTGAAACTTTCTGAATTATGGAAGCAAGAGAGTTTCTATAATTTTTTTTATTTTTTATTATAATTTTGTTTTGTTTTCTGGGCGCAATCGAGTTAAGATTTGCCGTCTTTCTTACAAAAAATACAAATTAACGATACTGAGTAAGGAAAAAACTGGATATGTAAAATTCGGAACAAAAATCACTATATATTTGCTTGGTAAAACAAAGTTTTAATAATACATCACAAACTTTAAAAAAAAAAAAAATTAAGTTCTTAAACCAAAAAAAGTGTAGTTGGTTTTTAGTCTTCTACAATTTTTGTAATCAGATTTCTGAATTTAATTTATGGTGGCTTAAAGCTAACTTCTTTTTGAAGTTTTTGGCCGTTATAAACTAACTTTATAAGTAATTCAGGGATCCAATTACAAAATTGTAAAAAATTAAGGATCATTTATTATTATTATTATTTAATATCTCCCTTTTTTTAAAAATAAAATGAAATTTCACTGGACAAAAATATCCTATAAAAATCCGAATCATACGTCGATTATGCGGACACAGATACTCTCCGGACACCAAAGTGACAGAATGAAATCTTATCCATCAAAAATAATTTTTATACATTAAATAACAAAATAAATCTTAATTATTTTTTTAGGCATTTAGATTTTAATTTCAAACTCTATAGTTGCTCTATCATCTTAGGGAATTCTGATTCTGCCCAAATTTAGTGGGGGTGTGTTACTCAACAAGTTTTTAACTTCAAGCAAATTTAGTGGGAGTATATATAAGTTATTTTCTACTAATTTACAACTTTTGAATAAATTTGGTTAATGACATTAAATTTATCCTTAATTTTTTAAAGGCTAAAACCCTGTTTTGGTCCCTTATAATAATTGTTTGTTTCAATTTAGTTCCACTTTTATTTTTGGTTTCAATTTGGTCCCAAATAAGTTAATTGGTTTCAATTTGGAACTTCCGTCCAAATTATTTAAACGGAGTTAACTGTTGGCCACGTGGATGCCACGTAGATGCATAGGTGGATGCCCGTGGATGCCAAATTTCGTTAAAACACCTTGAACTAGAACGGGTTGTTCTGGATGCACTCTTGGTGTGTTAATTTTGTATCTGAAACGAGCCGTTACAGATGCAAAATTAACACATCACTAGTACAGCAGAACGGTCCGTTTTGAAACCAGAACGGGCCGTTTTAAATCCAGAACGGCCCGTTCCAGAACTCAGTGAAAACAATAAAAATATTCTTTATTAATTTTATTAAAAAATATAATAATTTTAAAAAATATTTTTTTATGGTAAAAATTTTAAAATTACTTATTTTTATAAAATACAATTATCTTATAAGTAGAGTAATAACTTTTTCTTTTTCTCTTTCTATATGAATAAATATTTAAGTGTCACTTTACAATTTTTTGTAATTTATTTAAAATTAGAGGAATAAAATGATAAAAATTAATAAGATAAACATAATAAAAT